CGGGCGGGCGCGCGAAGGAGCTGTGCGTGCGCGCGCCCGCCCTCCCCTCGGCACTCGCTGAGGGGACGCGGCGCGAAGGCGGCCTGTGACGCGCTTCCGAGCCCTCGGGGGGTTTTCCACGAACAGAGACGAGTTGTTCTGACTGAAAAAAGTCCTCGAGACAGTCTTTAATGGGGCCTAAAGCACGCGCTCCTGAGGGAAGTCCGGCCTCTTCCCCCACGAAGGCCCCAGCTGAGGCAGGCACGGAGCCCTGAACACTCTGGAGGCGGTTGCTACTCAGCTCCGGTAGATAAACCACCTCCCACTCACCCCCGAGGGGCAAGGTTCCTCAGACGGGCTCATAGCTCGTTTCACTCACCTCTGAAGGGAAGGGCCCCAGAGCTGCAAGCAGGACAGTGCAACTTCTCATGGGAAGAGTTTATGGTAAGATACTGAGGATTAGTTTTACTAATATTAATAGCAATATGGTTTAACACTTAAGCACAAAACAGAGAGCGAGAGGTACACTGGTTGGCAAAGTTTAAGATACTCCTATAGCTTTTAAAACATTCAGAAAAAATTGTGTTTTGGCTTGATAGTCTTGGGATGAGGGTTATCAAGTAAGAAAGCCTAGTCTTTGTGTAAGCCTTTCAATTAGGTTCTCAAACTCCATAAAGGCGGGCAGCATCAGCTTTCTTGTACATTGTGGCAAATGTTCCATCTTTCATATAATAGCTCTTTTGGCATCTGTCCAGTTGAGAGCAAATTAAATGGCACATTAAGCACTCAAATACTATGATAACTAATAGATTCAAGGACAGGCTAGTTCATGATCTGTTCACTTTTTTTTTTTTTAATCAATGACTTTATTTAAAAGTACCACTTGTGCTAATTTCTCCTTGAAGATGTTCATCCAGTCTGAGTGAACAGTAAGGGTCCTTCTATCTCAGAGACTCACAGATGCCTCAGATTTAACTAGAACTAACGATATATAACATTAAAGTCTCTGGTAACTGCAGCCAGTATTGCTTTAGTATCATGTACTGGGGATGCATTGTAAAATTTATTTGTGTTTCCTCATAAATAAATAAATCTAAGTCCACAATAAATATTCTTCCCTTCCTTTTCAAATACACTTAGCATAATTTCCAGTCAGAGACATCTCCAATTGCTTAGTAATTTGAGGAAATCCGATACCAAATGGATTTGTTAGGAAGCAATAAAGGTTACAGAAAGCAGCATGTGCTTGCACATCGACTTTCTTTGTTTTGCAATACCTCTGTCTGTACAAATCAAGTCTTACTTCTCCCTTAAAAAGAAAAATTAGCAGTAGGTTGTACACCTCATGATGTGCAACTGCTAATACCTTCCAGCTAGATAGCAGGCTTCTTTTCCCTTCCCTCCCTCTCTCCCCTTCCCCTATATACATGTCATACACACATGGATTTTCTCATGCTGCTGCAGGACACTGCATTTCCTCTAGGTCTTAGCCCCTGTCTATCCCAACCAAACCCACCTCAGGCTTAAGTGAAGATAACTGCAATACAAAGATGCTTATAGGAGGGAGGGGGGGGGGGAACTCTCAGTTGTCCTCAGCTACCATGCCTGAGAACCACCTGAAGCCAGAAATGGAAGTGTAAAATACCTGCACGTCCTCATTTCTTTTGCCCATCCTGTTCTAATCCCTCTTCCACAGGCTCTTGCGTATGAGAGCACAGTCTGCCCATTCGACTGTCAACCAGAAAAAAAAGTGGACACACAGTGTCACCTAGTGGCACTAGAAAAATCACTGTCTGGTCTCCAGCTTCCAGTGAGATCACTGGTATTTCACCCATCTTTTCCCATGGTCTTTTTAAAACGCCGCCTCTTTGTGAAACAAGTATGAATCCAGTCTTCAGACCTAAATTTTAATGTAAATGACTGAACTTTATTGAAGGTTTTGTAGTTAACAGGACTGTTAAGAGAGCAGAATATTTTACACCTCAAGTATAGTTAAGAGCTAATTCTCATGAGAATACAGTACAATTAAAAGCTAATATAAAAGGGCATCCTCCTTCCACCGTTCAAGATTTCATTATTTCTAAAATAAATGAAGTCAAGTTTAAAAATGTACTAAGCTTCAATGCTAGCAATCAGAAAGTTTCACTGTTCGGATGATTTTATTCCAGACATTTTTGCAATGCAGCATAATTTCACAGCCACAATGAAAAGATTTATGGCAGCTTGATACAAGTAGGATTTCAAAGTTGTCAAAAGGCCTTAAAAATATTATCTGCAGTTTAAAATGAATGATGATGAACTCCAAGTAAAAAAAAAAAAAACCAACAAACCAAAAAACACCCACTTCAAATGCATATGAAATGCAAAAGTAATGCCCTGCAGGCTACTGCAAAAGTGTTGACTTGTCCTCAAAGAGATCTGTCAGTCAGGACAGCTTCTGGATAAGCACCAAAATACATATGTTCCAGCAACGGGCACACCATTCCAGTTGCACAGAGGAAAATAAAGAGAGTAGGGAGTCTTCAATTGATCATAGGCAGTTTTGAGAAAGAAAATCATGTTGTGCTCAGTTTAAGATGCTTTAGTTGTTGGATACTAAGCACAAACACAAATGTTTTTATTATTTAAAAAAATCACAGTTGTGCCCTTTACATGTATTAAAGTGCATTAAGTCACCATTTTTAAAGCAGGCCAGAAAGTCCCTTTGAAATTGGTCCCTAAGCACTGCAGTAGCATTTGTAGTGGTAAAAGTAGTGTATTACAGAAAGCCTGTTTCACACCACCATTGTGAGTACAGTGAAATTCTGTAAATTGTTAGTGAAATATGTATTGAAGCTCAAAAAGGATAAGACAGTAGGAGTACAGAACAGCTTTGTTCTTGTGCTGTGGACAGAGATTACCTGTTGAAACTATCCCGCAGCCAGATACTTGTTTCCATGCACCTAAATATACTCTTTGCAGGCTTCCAGAGTATTTTCTGGTTGAGATAATTTGTACATAGGATTCCCTTAATGTCGATGTGCAGTATAGCATCGCTTTAATGGAGGACAGCTGTTTGTTAAAGCTAAAAACACCAATTTAAAAAGGCCCAGCACCTTGCAGCAAGTTTTCTAGTAAAAGGCCAATTTATTCTTCATCATCTTCTTCATAGTAACGATTCCTTTTGATCTGTTCTTCCACAGATAGATCTTCCATATCTTCACCCTCCCAGAAACCAACATCTTGGGACTTGCGATTCTGGTTAGGAGATGATTTCTTAGCAGTCACAACATTGGCTAAGCTGGAATGCTTAGGAGAATTGGGTTCAATGAATTCTTCATTTGGAATTTCTTGCTCTTCCATAGCGTGTTCTTCCTCATCTGTCTCTGCATTCACCTGGCCATTTTCTACAAAGTTATGCTCTGCCGTTTTGATACCAGACAATTCCCGTTCTTCCTCTACATTTTTCTCTTCAGCACTCTGGATGTTTCTATTCTCAACCTTCTTTTCCTTTTGCTTTTTGTCTACCACAACCTCTCTCTCCAGTTCCTCGCTTCTTTTCGATGTGTCTCTCTCTGCCTTAGAAGGAGAAGATGAATTCTCTGTTTTATGACCTTTAACAGATATTGTTCTAAACGAGGCTGCTACTGTAAAGGGACGACTTCTTTCCTTCAGGGAGGAAGTTCTTCTTAACTTTTTGAGATCCAGATCCACATCCTCCAGCACATCTGGCTTGGAAATCTCTTCTTCCGGGGGCCATTTGGGTTTGAATACTTTGATGCCCTCATCTAAGGCACTTCCTTGAATACCTTGGTCAGATGGAGGCGGCCAGGCAATCCTGAGCTTTTTTGTTTCTGCTGGTCTCTCTTCTCTTTCAGGCAAAGCTGAAGCTTTTGCTTCCATGCTTGCTGCCAGAACTCCTACTTTTGCAATTGGGGCATCCTCCACTCCTGGGCTTTGCGGACTTTCTGTTGCATATACACCGTGGACAGATTTCTCCGGGGATTCTTCACGTTCAGTTTTGCCTGCCCATAATTCCTTATGCTGTTTGTGTCCAAAGCCTTCATCATAATTGCCTTTAGATTTGAAGAGCTGATTGAAGTGAGGCTTGCAGTAAATATTCCCACGCAGAGATGCATATGTCCCAAGACTGTTCAGGAAAATACAAAGTCAAATGTTAGCATTCTGTGTCTCAGCCACCGAGATGGGTGTATATTTTAGTTACGTTACTGAAGAGATTCAATTTCAGTCTTCCAATATGTTTAGAAAAAGACAAGCTTACAGCTTTCATGAGTTTGTATGGCCCTCTTTTCAAACGTCAGGAGTTCTTCACAAAATTGGACATTACATTTTTCCCCACATAAAATTACATTAAGAGTTTAAAAATAGACTCCATCAAGTGCAAAAGCCACCGGCAGATACCACTCCTACGCTCCTCTCCAATTCGCTGGATTACGGTTGCCTTCAGCTCAGCTAAGCCTGAACAGCATCCTACTCGGCTGCTGAGGAGGAAAGCTACACTTCCTAGACAGCAGCCAAATGGAGTGGTGTGTTTACCTGAGTTTACTGTTGCAATAGGAACAGCGGAAACAGCTGATGTGAAACACCTGCTGGTTGGCAAAGAGCCTTTCCATCGGGTACACAGTCTTCTGACACCCGACACAGGTTTCCTTCATTGGCAACTGAAATTTCTATGGGAAGAAGAGAAAGCTTGTTAACTGGAAAACTAATCAACTGCTAGGGGACTTGGCTTGCGTTCATGCACAGCTTCCAGAGTTCTCAGAAAAATTGCAGCGATTCACTTTCTGCAACTCAATGCTAATTATGGCGGAGTGGGTTCTGGTGGGCAACGAGTGAGGAAGAGGCTACGGCAGGCCCACAGGATTGCTGTGGCTTGACAGTGAGCCAAGATTTTGCCCCAGTGAATTCCACAGCTAAAGCATCACAAGTTGAGCAATGGTTGAGAAGGAACAATGAAAATACTAGAACTTAGTTATAACTGAGCCAGTTCCCAAAAAGCCATCTAATCTATTTCTGCAACCTCGATTTTTCTTTATAGGAAAATTATGAAGAAATATTCAGGTAGATTGCAGTCAGTACAAGACTTACCAAAATTTTAAAAAAAGCACAGAAAGAGAGCCGAAATAACCTCAAAATAAAAGGTAGAGGGTGGGAGAGGAAAGGAGTGAAACAGGCTGCTCAACAGTTTGAAATGATCCACTTTTGCTAAATGCTCTCCTCTCTTAAAGAGGAGGAAATAGTCTCAGCACAGATGCAGGCAGCAGGAAACACTTCTGACTTCATTTGTAAGCAATTCCAGTTCTATCGCAAAGAAACTATACTCAGGTTTCAAGACACGCAGCCCTCAAACTTGCTCAAGACTTAAAGTGAACAGGGCTTTGAGGTTAAACAGCTAAAATTGTTTATGTGCTCACTAAGAGAATTTCCTGAACATTTAGTGCAAGGGTAAGCTTAAACACTAAGGAGTCAAGTGTCACTGCTGCGCTGTATGGGAACGATTTCAGATTTTGTTTTCCGACAGCATCAAGGAAGCAAGTACATTGTCCATGAAAAAAGGTCACTTGATGCCATTCACTTCTTGGAATCTATTAAGCTTGGCCAATAGGGAAGACACTTTAAAGGAAAAATTAAATAACTTACAGTTGAAAAATTGGCAGTCTCAGGCTGCATGTTGATTACAACTACTTTAGCGGCAGGGTAAAAGACTGCCTAGGCTCTGTACCATGGGTCTGCATAGACACATTGATATTGTAGCTTTTCTTTGACAAAGAATTACCTGCTACAAACTTACTAAAAAGCTTTAAGGAAAAATATGATGGCTAAAGAAAAAACAGGAAGGTCACAGGAAGACATAATTACAGCAATTTATTTATAACAGACTAGAAACAATGGTCAGGCAATGAAACTTGCAATACGTGAGGGACAGATTGCTGAAGACAGAGCCAGCTGAAGTCAGTGTGTCACCATCATAAAGTTTGCTGCCAATTTAATTCGAGTTTAATAGGTATTTCAATTTTTTTAAGGCATTGCTTGAAGTTATAGTAGATTAAAGTTCTAATTATGATGACAGCTTGACCAACAAAAGTTCAGAGTTCCTTTTGGAAAAAAAATCCACAATTTCTAGGTGCTGCCAAAACTGCATATGAATTCTGAATTTTAAGTCACTAAATGAAATCTCAAAAAATGAGACTTTACCGATGCAAAAAAAAATCTAATCATCCATGCTTGCCACAGGGAGCAAGGCAGCAACAATTTGCTTGCCCATCAAAAAGTAACTCTCCCTGGAAGCTTAGTTTAGCAAGATGACATTACCGTGCTGGCATGTGCTTCTGCAATGCACATCCCCATCTAAGAGGAGGAACTTACTTGCATAACAATGAGCCCTATGTCTGATGGAGAGGCGTTTCGGGGCGTGAAGAGAAAGAAATTCCTTTCCAGGCATACTACAGATAGGAGCTACAGGAGGAAGGTGAGGCCCAATAAATATAAAAAAACTTGAGAGAAAGCTGAGAGTTGAGCTCACATTAGGAGGGAAGCAGAAGGCAGGAGTAGAGGTTAGGAACCAAGAACAGGAAACAGAAGCTGGAAGAGACAAATAGGAACCTTACATGAATAAACAGCATCTGGGTTTCTATCTCAGCAGTACAGCATCTAAAGCAGTAACAAGGCAGAGGACTAAAATGGTTCTAATAATACAGAGAGCACAGAGGACCAAGATACACAGGTTGTGTGTATCTTGTATGCTGCAACAGATTGAGATTACAAAAACGTTATAGGCAGCTCTAATTTCACATACTGGCATTTATACTCCAGAACACTAGGAAGCCACATCTCACTGGTCTTCATGAGGCCAGCGCTGTTCCTCTCAAAGATGGGGAAAACAACAAAAGCACAGTTGTTTCCTCAGGAGTGAGCCAGGAAGTCTGTGGCAGCCCAGGGAATAGGCATCCTAACTCCAGACAGCACACGTGACAAGAAAGTACAGTGTGATCAAAACGCTCAGCACTGCCGTTTCTGTGTCTAATAAGATTAGCAAATACATTCCTATCCAAGAAGTTCTCCATCTGCTTTATAGCTCCCGCTAAAGAAAATGTAACATTAAGGACTTGCTATTCAGAATGCCAAACTCTGTCTGTGGAGCCAGTCACCGCAGTGCCCTTACTAGAAAGTTGCTACCAACTGCAGTTACCTTGGGAACAGCTGGAAGAGGAGGGTGGGAAGCCAAGTCCCAGCCTACAGTCAGGACCTCAGTGCCAGTCTCTAGGAGCACTGACTTTACAAGAGGCATAGACAAGCCCTGATACGATCCCCTGCTCAAACCCCTTTTCCCACACCGAAGAGAAACTGCCTCTGTCACAGGGGCACGCTGTTGTAACAGCAGCAGGGCAACTCCCAGCAAGCAACTCAAACTCAGTCTTTGAAGAAGACCTGACAGTTTTGAGATGCTTTTCCATTCTGAATTCAAGTTCCCTCATGAACACAGTCTGATGAAGACAGATCAGATATTGATACAGTTACTGCCAGACCCTTTGTGACCACATTGGTTGCATTAAAGCTTTTCAATATTAAAGAGAGAAGTTAGTTGTTTTTAACCATCACCGATGTTTGAGAATAAATAGCTGCTTTACCTTCACTCCTTTTGGCAGAGATGCATCTGTCTGGCCAGCAGGTTTAGAACCAAAGTTTTGCTGCTTTGTGCTGACAGGTTTCTGAACTTCTGTCTTGCTCTCCAAGCTTTGTCCAACTAAGGGAACGCAGGAGGAAGAAAAGGTAATTACAATGACTTTTAAACCATGGAAAGCTTATGCTCATAAGACCGAACAGCAATCCTACCAGCTAAGGGCTAACATTTTTTTCTTGAACATCTGCTATTAAACCTTTAGCTCTAGATACTTAAACATGATCATTCTACTTTTCCGATTTACCAGGAAAGTTAAGTTGGTATGTAAAGAAAACTAATATACAGGGATCCAACATCTAACTTCCAGGAACTGTTCTTCATTTCTGCAAAGTGCTCACGTGTGGGCTTCAATTTAGGTGTAAAGCTAAGGCAACATGAGAACATGCTTACGTCCTTTACTGAATAGGAACTTGTCCATCTCTGGACAACACCAAAGACACTTGGTAATTGTCCTGCATTAATAAGTACTTCAGCCTATTGACTGATGTAGTAGCTGCCAGAGCTCTAAGTTTAAGTCCAAATGGTGAGGAAGCTACACTTAAGTACGTTCAATCAGAGCAAACAAGAGTTACAGATGTCTTAGAATTACAATTGCAAATGAACTGCTAAACCTGAAAGAAATTCTTACAACATTTGAGCTAGGCACAGGACAGATTTTTAGTACAAGACAGGTTTTTATTGGGTCAAATTCATCATTTGACAGGACTGATCTTAAGCATCCTACACACAACTGGGCAGAGTTAGTGCTTTTCCTCAGCCATGTGCTTTACTCCCGTTGAGGCAGGAGAACAAGTGCTTACCACTGCCATCCTCTAGAAGACCAGAGTGGAAAGACAAGCTGTTCTCACCTACAGAAGCCTGCAAGAGAATATTAGACCATGAGCACCTTTGACCTTCTGAAGTCTGAATAATCATGGCCTAAGTAACACAACAGGCAGTTTGACACTCTAAGTACTTAAACAGGAAGACACTGGCCACACCGAGGTGCACATGAAGCTACTTTTTGTTTTGTAGGGCACAAGGCAGAGTCCAGCTGACTGCCAAGAATGTTAGTCCTTGCTACCAGGTAGACATCCTCATAATTTTACAGCTCTTGCAATATTCAGATCATCTGCAATAGTATTCACACACACACACACATCATATTTTTGTCTTCCCAAACACCTGCAGCTTGTACACCTTTATCTGTTAGTCTTCAGAAATCCTTGTTGATTTCGTTGATGTACCTCCCAGGTTTTCTTACTTAGAAATCCCTTAACACCAAGCAGTACACATTTACTGGAAATCTCATGGCTTCCTCCAACATTTGATACATCTATGACATTTAAACATTCAGCAAAGACAGTACTTTTGGAAAAAAAAGAAAAAAGGAAAAAATAACAGCTGAATTTTAAAAAAAGCTTTTGTAGAACTCGAAGTCTGCTGTTCCCAGGTTGGGACAAACATGCCTGGACCTATCCTGTTCATCCTCCTTCAGAAACAGATTAATATTTAAAAACAAAACAAAACTTTTTAGAAAAGTTCAATATAAACCAGTTTCAGATACTAAACATGTTACAGATAAAGCTCTTGATGTATATTTCTTTATTAAACTTGGCACTATTGCTATTAAATCAAATAGTTGTAAATAGCTACACTGAGAAACTAAAGTACTGTAACAAGATTAACTGCAAATCATCACTAATTCACTTTAATGATTGGAAAGTCCATTGCAAGCAACTGAAGTTTGCAAATTAATGAAGTAATGAGGAAGCAAGTTACATATATTAACATACTCTGGTCTACTGAAAAAAAAAACTATAACACTAGTATACTGGGAAGTGGATCAGCATGTTCTGTGGCTGTTAAAGAGTCACACATGTCTGGCTACTAAATCTTTCACAGATTTTCACAGTGTGAAAAATGACAGAGAAGGTTAGCAAGTTTCTTTCGTTTCCTTTTTGCCAGAGGATTCCCATTTCTGACATTTACTACTAGTAGTTTTAATTAGGCTTATTTCCAAAGTTCATCATGTCATTTCAAAAGGACAATCCTGGCTCTCAAACAATGTTCTATTCAGGTTCTTTATTGCACCTGGACACCTCAACAAGTAACTTCACAATTACAGCTGAATGCAAGAAATTTTATTCAAATCTTCCATTCAACAACAGAGAAGTATTCTGATTTAACAGGTGTTCTTTTAATTAACTCACCTTTTAGCAAAAAGCAGCCTCCACCAGTTAAACATGAAGCTGCTCAGCTGTCAGCGAGGAACAGCTGAAAGCAACGATTTGGCCCCTTGCCCAAGGAAGGCTGGAAAGCTCTAAAAGCCCTCCTGGCATTAGGCTGCCACGTGTTCAGAATGGCTGGAATACACAGTACCCCATTATTATTCAGCTACTTTTATCCTGTTTGCTGTCCCCAGTTTAGTATACAAATGCATGAGCGTGCTTTATTATCTCTAATTCACAGAGTAATTTAGTCTCAATTTACAGCTGAAGCTCAAAACCAGGAACAAACCCAAACTGGCATTTTCAGTTACCTTAATCAAAATTTAGCCACTAAATGCAGAAGAAACAGTGATAAACTCCTTTTACGTGTGTCACACAACTCTTCTCATGGGGTTTTTTCCTGGTGTGGTTTCTTTTTTCTTTTATTAAAAAAGAAACAAAAACCACCAGAACTCACAAACAAGACATATACCTAGCTATGAATCATCTTTTTACAGTTAGGGAACACGACACAAAAAGTTTAGGTGGCTTCATCATAGTCGTCAAAAACTAATGGCAGAGTTAAAAAAAAAAAAAAGAACAAAAAACCCCCACAAAATCATCAGAGGTTTCAGCCCTAGTCAGCTACTGAAGCCATCAGAAAATACACAAGTATGATAGTGAAGGATTCTGCCACACTACAGGCATGTCATTAATGAGAAGACAGGGGAACTCTCCAAGAAAACATAAAATTTGTCTCTAGATATTCTCTACAACTGCTTAAAAGTCTTCCACAGAGACGTGCTAACTTATAATTCAGATACAGTCTAAGAAAATAATTAAAAAAAAAGAATCAGGAATTCTGCAGCATGTAAACAATCTGTATCAGCTGCTCATATTCAATTTCTAGATGGCATGTGGAACAAGTATATCAGCTGTGCTTCTACAACTAGTTCCACTTAAAGTGAAGTCCTTGATCTTCACCAGCATAAGCATCTTACCTTCTCCCCATCCTGATAGGAAATGGAGTCCTCAAGACTTGGTGGCATATTCTCCTTCTGCTCAGATTTGTAATTCTTGAGTTCACTTTCATTGGCTTGAATCTCATTCTATAGAATAAAGCACTTGAAAGTTGACAGGTTCTTTTCCCCTAGGAAAATACTTGCTATTTTTCTTAAAATCTTTTAAAAACTGTTTTCCTAGTATATACAGTGATAATTAAGGGAAGGGGCCTAAAAATCTATACAAACTTGGTAAGTGATACATTCTAATGAAGAAATTACTCTATGGAGGTAATGCCAGCATTTTTCTAAACAACGCCTTTTCTTTACTTCCAGATTCCTGTTTAAAATCAACTCTCACTTCCCCTGCTCAGTCCACATCTTCCTTTTCCCGAAATGTTAACCTTTCATTTGAAATTACACGTATTTCAAGCCAAGCACTATCTAAAGCACTGTGTAATTGAAAAATACAGTTCAACATAAAAGCAAATCCTACCCTTGCTTCAATACTAGTCAAAAACCTAATTCTGTTATTTACCAAGACTTTGTTCTTGACAAACTGACTTAAGATTTTCACAGAAGAATCTTTCAGACTGAAAAAAAAATAATCCAGTGAAACCTTGTGTTTCTTTCACTGCCACAGGATACAAGACAATTGGAGAAAGACTCGTGCTTTTCACAAGGCATCTTCTCTGTAACATGAAAGAGAAACAGCCAAATGCCAGCACCAGCATCTTACCGGATTTTGTAAACAAGCCTGCACAAAACCAACCATGTCTAATAGGTATGTAATTGAATGTTAGAATTTCAATGTATAGATCTCTAAATATGCTGTCCATCATCTCTCCCTCCCCTTCCTGTATCACTTGCAATGCATAGAAATGATTGCTTCTCACCCTTACTCTAACCAACTGTAAAAGTGTCTATCAGTTTTAATCCAGGCCTAATTACACCACAATGCCTTCAAAATAGTTGTTCCCAAGAGGGATTATGGCTTTTCTTTGTAGCACAGATGTGACACATTTTAAGAGAAGGGAAGTACAAATACCACACTACCATATCAAAAGAGCCCTAGTTGCTTTGTCAGCAGGGAAGGAGAACATCCAAGAGTTATGGCTGCTATTGGAACACAGAAGTACTGCAAACATTGGCCTCAGAAACGTTGTTTGCTCCATCTATGTGGTGCCCTTGTTGATGTGCCAGACCAAAATCAAAAGAGATTCTGCCAAATGGGACATCCTAAGAGCATCAGGCTGGACCGACACTCAAACTGGTAGCGTTGGGGATTTGCAAACAAGAGTCTCAAGATACATCTATGGTAAATCTCTCGCCATTAGGACATAGTTTAGTGGATCAGCTACCATTCTGAGCCACAAACTGGAAAAGGCAATCTAGCAAACTGAATCCTGGTGAGAAACAGGATGCAAAAATCAGCAATTAGCAGTTAGTCAGATTTGTTGCATTGGCTGCAATTATTTTCCATTCATGCAGTGAAGTTTACTCGACTTTCCTCCCAAGGGTTGGAGAATTAGACCCACTCTGCATATGAAATTCAGAAATCATTTCAGCCAGGTAGAGACTTTTGCCTGTCTACAAAGCATGGAAGCATGCACTCTTCCAAAGCTTAGAACCATCATTTTTGGCTTTTATTTCCAGTGCAAGTTTCCTAACTTAAAAAGGCCTATCCTCTTAAAATTTACTACTCTAGTTAATAAAAATCATACTTAAGCACTAAAAGTTCCCATCATTAAGCAAAAGTATCTGACAGTTCCAGCAAATGTACTTCAGCACTTTTTAACAAAAGCTTAGATTCTTGCAATCTCTTCAGCTGCAATACTTCACCATGATTCATTAATTGCTCATTTCCTGATCAAATATCTGCAAAATTGGCACGGGTTCATTCACTGCAAGAGTCTAATGGGATTCAGATAATGGGTGAAGACTTGAAGGGATGTGAAAAGCAAAAGGGAGGAAAGCTGACTGGAGATCCCAAAGCTGCAGGCCAAGAGATCCAGGTTCTGCGCACTGTATGACACTGAAAGTCACTCCATCTTACTGTGCCTCAGTTTCCCCTAGCTTACAGCTAATGTACAATACAGAATTGAGTTTGGGTTTTTAGTTTTTTAAAAAACAACAACAACAAACACGCAAAGAGCTACAGACATGCAGAAAGAAAAAGAATATAAGCTATTTTTCAGAAGGACCTCAGTCAGGGTGCCAGCAATTAATTCCTTGGAAAACTTTCAAGATTATTCCAGGAAGATGCAAATACTTATTTCTTTCTGCAGTATGTAGAGGCAACTCTTCATTAGAAATTACTCCTATGGGCACAAAGTTATTTTCAAAAGAAGATGGCATTATCTTCAAAAAGCCTGGTTTCCATAAGGTCTTCTTTCCAGTCTCAGGTTGGGACAAAAATTCACTTCTACACAAGCCAAAGAACATACTTACCGTGGTAATGAGGCCTGTGGAACTGCCCTGCTTGGACACAGCTGCCTGATACTTCGCCAGCCTATCCTTTATTGAAGTTTCTGTTAAGCGAGGCATCTCCAGGCTTTTCTTGGTCTCTGCCTTATCTGGGCTGAGTGCTGGACTAATATCTACAAGATGCCCTGGAAAAAGAACTACATGAATAAAGGGTAACTTTCAGGAGCACCAGTAGACCTGTTTACAGAAAGATTTACAAATCCCATCCCTTCACCACTCCCAAGACCACAGAAATTCCAGATCTGAAGAGCACAGAAATGCTTCAGTCAAAGGTTTATGCTCCAAGTCTCATAATTAATCCAGCTAGTTTCAGAAGTAGCGTATTCACCAGATGCAGCGTCCAGCCAGTAGTCTCAGAAGTAATGAGAGCAAACAGTTTTAACACTGAAGATTGTTTCGCTGTTATTGTCAAATGAAAGCAGCTGCTAGAGTGGCTAAATGGAAACATACATCGTTCCTGTAGTGGAACAGTTGTCAAAGTCTTTTGGGGAAAACACGGGAAACGAGGAAGGAAGTCTCACGTGCCACTTCCACCTTCTCCGTGAAAATAATTTATCGCATGACATGTTACAGATGAGGATCTCGAGAACGGACATGTTATGAAATAATTCAGTTTAGTCTCGCAGGAACATTTGAAGCATCTGTTTTTATCTCAAGAGGAAAGAAACATTTGGGAGCTTAAGTCTTTGCATAGGTACAGATCCCCTGACTCTCAGAACTATGCCCCATTACTTGCCATCCATCTTTCGCTTTTGCTGTCAGATGTTAGCCAAACAGGTTTAAAAAGCCAGCTCCTGTGACTGTTCTGCTATCTAACTTCCTTGTATAATGGTCAGGTCTTCAGTAATAAGCTTAACTGTTCAATAAAGAATGATAAAAAAAATGACCTTTCACTAGCTAGTGGCCTTGAATGACTAGTAAGTTGTATGAATCATTAAGGTGCCTCGTGGGGACAATAAACAAATGTAAGTAGTTCTTGCCATTCTCTCCAGTATTGCTCAAATAAGGACACAATGCGCATCACTAAGTAGTAAGATATATTAGCCATAGGCTGAAAACACAAAGGACTGTAAATGCTTTGTTAGAAAACAGTCTCTAAACATACAAAAAATACCTAATTTTGCTCAAGTCATACGGCTAGCTGTAGTTACCTGTGTCTGGACAAGGTAGGAGGGATGAGAATTAAAGCAAGAAGGAAGAAGGCATATTGTCTTGTCTGTTAACTACTTTCTAAATTAGTTTGACTATTAAAAGTAGTTCTAGGATGGTCCTAGGGGGTTCCATTCCTTAACGTGCTAGTTATCGCCTTGGTTTCCCGCACTTAAGAGTATAACAGTTTAAAATTCACAGCAAGACTTAATTCATTAAATGCAATGCTCGCATGGACTTTACAGATGGAAGATGGCTGCACTTCCTTCCATTTCTGAAAGGCAAAAGTTATTTCCATTGTATTGTATAAAGTAGTTTTATTTTACAAACAAAAACCACAACAGAAACCATGAGGTTTACTGACCTGATGTACTATGGCTCTTCTCTCCTTGGCCAACATCAAAGTCCTCTGAAGAGAGGCTGTTTTCAGAAATCCTCCTACCGACTGCTGTCTTCCTCTGGTCTCTAGGGACCTGTTAGAGACAAGACCCACCTATCAGCTGCCTGGACAAAGATTGTTGCGTATAATCCTTTAAGATGCACAGGTGTCACTAGCAAATCTGCTTTACTGGAATAAGCAAGTCCAGCAGGTGACGTCTTATTTAACCAATATAAAGTTTGATCACAGAATACCTGATCCTCTGTAACCTGGAAAACACTTTCTTGAAGAGGTCAGTAGATGCCCTTTGACTAGTTATCTTTGTTGAAAAGTCAGAGAACCACAAAGATCAGATTTTTAGGCATTTACCACTGCAAATACAAAAGTTCAGTCTAGATTTTTGCATTTCATACAATTTCTTTTGAAGCTAATGTTCAAGGTCATTTTATGAAGATTTAAAATTAGAAAAAGGATTAAAGGAGTGAGCTATCAAAAATTTGCACTGATTTTCAGCAACAGAAAGAAGAATAAATACTACTGTAAATAAAGTTATCTAAAGTTACTTGTTTTGATTTGTATAGCTCATGCATTTGCTACCAAATAATTCCCTAATTAGGTCTGATAAGGCTTGAAGCTTAAGCAGGAGAGTGCTAGAGATAAATATTCTCAGATATCCAGGATAATCGCTATCGGCAAGGCTGCAGTGCTGGGCAGGGTGTTCTGTAGCACTGCCACACAGATGCTCTGGCTGGCTCAATCAGATTTGATACTCATTTGTTGAGACCAACTCCCCAAAATATAACGCTCAATAAAAGAAATTGTGAAAAGAAATTTCACCAGCTTTGATAAATGCTCATGAAGTGCAGAGTTTAATTTGACTTCATCAAGATAGGATGTTTCCACAGCTGAAAGTCAACCTATAAAATACTAGAACGTGATAGATTTTTGTTCCCTCCCTAGGAAGAGTTAAATCACAGAGCCAGTTTGAAATTAAGAT